ACTAGCTCCAATTGAACAAGTTTACACATCCAAATTTTATCAATGCATGAAAACTTCTAAAAAAATTTGTAAGTTAATTTTTACTATATCATTATATTAATATCTATTGTAACCATATATTTTAAATTATTTATTATCATCCTCTATTAACAGCAATTGTAGCAATTGTTATGGACAAACTCACAAAATAATTTGTCTCAACAAGGAATGGAAATTAAAAAAAAAAAAATCATTGATTTCATTATTGTTGAAGAAAAGTATGTACGACACTTTATTACTCTTATTAATTAAATAAATTAGTAGCTACAACAAAAAATAATACATATGCATTTAATTAATTTAGAATTAGATATCTATAATGCTTTATTTAAAAAAAAAAAGTATTCATTATAAAAAAATTTAAAAGAAATATAATTTCATTAGTTATATTATCTTTATTTTCTACAATTCAAAGATTCCTTACCTTCAAATTTATTAATTTATTATATTCACTACATTGTTCATTATCTTCTTTTTTACATTATCTTGTAATTAAATATCAAAGTTATAATACAAAACATGTTTTATATATATATATATATATATATATATATATATATATATATATATATATATATATATATATATATATATATACCAAGTATTTTATACAAATATAATAAATATTAATATTTCGTACAATACTTTCACATGATAACATGCGACACACATCTCACAACACATGAAACATGTAGGAAAAAAACTACCACTACTAAATATCAATATGTGTTTGTACGCTAAAGAGTTCATATTACAACTAAAATCTCAGTCATATACACAGCAAGGTAAATTTAAAACTTCCTACACCATAATCTCATTGCATGATGAATCCCTCTATGCTGCTACCAGTAACCTAATTGCACATGAAACACTACCAATAAAAAAAACAAAAAAAAAAAAAAGAAACAAATAGGACATGTACTAAAGATGAAAACAATAACAATGCTACCCAAAAAAGAATTAAGAAGAATTAGAGAAATTTAAACCAAAAGTAGTATTTATTTAGACTATCGCTTTAAAACTAAGTATTTAGACTAGCGTTATTACAAAGTTACAAACATTTATTTTAGTGATAATTATAATCAATCTCTCATATATCATCTTGCATTTATAAACCTTAAATTACCGATTTAAATAAACAAATTCAACATTTATTTACATATGCATGAAAATCTCCTATATAAATATTGCATTGATATACTTTGGAATACTTATTTAAAAATAATTATTGGGCATTATCTCATTCGCACAAAGTGCGTAAAAAAACTAGTATATATATATATATATATATATATATATATATATATATATATATATATATATATATATATATATATATATATATCGGTTCCCGTGCGGTTGAGTGTGTCAGGTGCGTTTGCGGGGTTAAATTTGCGCTATTGATCTTGCTAAAATCAACGTCCAAGATTTACAAAACTATAAAAAAAAAAAATGTGTTGACAATTTGGTAATTTTTGCATCTAGGTCAAACTTAAGACGTAATTTTCCTTCTTAAGGTGAGTGATTTTCCTTCTTAAGGTGAGTGATTTTCTTTTTTAAGGTCCGTGATTTGGTCAAGCTTTCAATTTTTCTTTTTACAGTCACTCTTCCAATCCTTAATAGAGTTACATATATAATCAAAATTTTAAATTTTTTATATAATATTTTATAGCATAAATGAAATATATATAAATATATATAACTCATATAACATCGTACTCAAATTCTCCTTATTCGATAAAAAGTTCAAAGATAATACTAAAGTCAATCACACGGGTCTTTTTCATCATTATTTTCGTGCCTGAGCGCCTGAACGTCGGATTTGGAACAGACTCCTAATATAAATTATAACTCTCTCTCGCCCAAAGCATAACACCTTAGAAACATAAATCAGAAAATTCACAGAGAAAAATGCATAATAGAGTTTCTCTTCTAGGGGTGGTGAGCATTTAGTCTGTAAGCTTAAGAAATCTATATAGGTTTAAAACAAGCCTGCCGTCAATGGTATATCAAGTTCGATGTGGTAATTTCGTCATTTGGTTTTGCTGAAAATCCCTCAGATAACTGTATATACAAGAAGGTGAGTGGGAGTAAAATTTGCTTTCTTGTTTTATATGTGGATGGCATCTTACTTGCCACCAATGATAAGGGGATGCTTCGTGATGTGAAACAATTTCTTTCTAAGAACTTTGATATGAAGGATATGGGTGATGCCTCTTATGTTATTGGCATTAAAATTCATAGAGATAGGTCCCGGTGTATACTGAGTTTATCTCAAGAAACCTATATAAACAAAGTTTTAGAGAGATTTCATATGCAAAATTGTTCACGAAACGCTGCTCCCATATCTAAGGGGGATAAATTCAGTTTGGACCAATGTCCGAAAAATGATTTGGAGAAAGAATCCATAGAGAACATCCTTTATGCTGCAGCAGTTGGATGTCTTGGATATATTCAAGTCTGTACGAGGCTGGATATTGCTTTTGCGGTTGGAATGCTAGGGCGTTACCAGCACAATCCGGGGTTAGACCATTAGAGAGCTGTAAAGAAGGTTTTAAGGTATCTTAAAGGAACCGAAGGTTACAAGCTTGGGTTTAGGCATGCGGACAATTTAGATCTTGTCGGTTATTCAGACGTGGATTTCGCTGGCTGTGTTGATTCTTGAAAATCAACTTCAGGGTACGTAATCATTATGGCCGGTGGGGCTATCTCATGGAGAAGTATTAAACAGTCCTTAATAGCTACTTCTACCATGGAAGCCGAGTTTGTTTCCTGTTTCGAGGCTACTTCACATGGTGTTTGGCTAAAGAATTTTATCTCTGGGCTTAGAATTATGGATTCTATATCTAAGCCATTGAAAGTCTACTGTGACAACTCAGCTGCAGTCTTCCTAGCTAAGAACGACAAAAGTGGGAGTCGAACTAAGAACATCGACATCAAGTTCTTAGCAATTAGGGATCGTGTCAAAAATAAAGTTGTATTCATTGAACACATTAGTATTGAGTTGATGTTAGCATATCCCTTGACTAAAGGTATGCCTCCATATAAATTCAAGGATCTGATTCAGAAAATTAAATGGGACTTTCGCCCAATTTGTAATTTGTATATATACATTCAGTTTCAATAAAATTCTTTGCCATTCTGAAATTTTCTCAATTAAGTGTGTACACCTTCATTTGCTTTATATATTGATGAGAAAATGTACTTCAAGGACTTGGAATAAACATAGGGTTTATTTCATTGGGTTTTGTTTCCTAATTAAGTGCTCAATGACAGTTTGCATTTGATCATAATGGATACTACTCGCGCTAATGAGAACATATCATTATGGTTGGTGTTTTTCTGTTATTGAGTGGTGGTGTTTGCACCAAGTGGGAGAATTTAACGTTTATCTATTACTATTATTATAACATTAGGATAAGTTATGATAATATTAAATATTTGATATGTGATGCAACACTAATAACCTAATAGCTAGACTACTATTATGATTAGGAGCAGGGACGGAGGCAGAGGGAGGGGGGGGGGGGGGCAGCTGCCCCCCCTCACCCCACCCCCACCTCATATATAATATTTGTATGTATATATGTATATATAGTATAGGTGTTAGTATTAGTATAAAAAAATCAGTAAATGTTAACAATTATGGTGTTAGAGTAGTTGGTAAGGCATGTGTTTATTAATGGGAAAGGTCTTAGGTTCAAATCCTTGCATTAACATAGTTTTGAGTCCTTCCCCTATGGCCACTTTTTTAATATGTGTAATGTGTTTTCTATTTAAATTATTTTATCAAATTAATTATGTTTCATATTATGTTATGAATATTTTTATAAAGTTTTGATGTGTTTCATTTTTCGCACATATCCAACAATATTTACAACTATATTTTTTAAGTAATGATTATATAAAAAAAAAAAATCTTAGGTAATTTTTTTTTTTTTTTAAATTATCTCTTTTGTTTTAATGTTTCGCTTTTACTGGAAAAAAATTCCTGAATCCGTACTACTTCTTCGCCCCCCTCAATCGAATTTCTGGCTCCGTCCCTGATTAGGAGTCTAGTTAGAGTTTAGGAGACCTAAAGACATACAACCACAATGATGGCCAGTGATTATATAAGGTCACTGGTCCTCTCACTCCTCACATTACATACCTCATATACCCGTGGTTAGAGCATCCACAATGGTTGGGGAGAATTGGGGGATAATGTAAGATTGATTAGGAGAGAGAATGTGGGAAGGGAGGAAAAAAAAACAAAAAAATCAAAATCAAAAATTAAAAAACAAAAAAAAAAAATTAAAAAAAAAAAAAGAAAAGGGTCAGACGCGCCCGTGTGGGCGACAGCAGCCTCTTTTTTCTTCTCTTTCTTTTTCTTCTTTTTCTGCATTCTCCTTGAATTTGCAGGAGAAATATCTCCACCAATAACTCCACCCCACACTTGTTATTATCCCCACCCGAGATAATTCATCTGACATTATCTCCATAATATCCACTGATGTGGATGCTCTTATATAAGATCACTAGTCCTCTCACTGCTCACATTACATACCTCATACACCATCTAGAGAGAGCTCAGTAAAGTGAGAGACAAAATACTCGTGTTATCAGCCGTTCGAATCACTCAATCGTCCCTCACACTGCTCACATCACATACTTCATACACTATCTAGAGAGAGGTGAGTAAAATGATACAAAATACTCGTGTTATGAGCCATCCGAATCGCTCAATCGTCTCAAGAAGGAGGTTAGTCGGTCCTGTATCACATATAATATGCATGTGATATATATTTAATATAACATTTTCATCATTGACTGATACGAAAGTCCCAGAACGCGTGATAGAAACTTCGTGCCTGAACGTCGGATTTGGAACAGGCTCCTAATATAAATACGCTCTAAATTATAATCTCGCCCAAAGCATAAGACCTTATTAGAAGCAAAAATCAGAAATTTGACGGAGAAAAATGCAGCAAGCTGTGAAGCTCGTTCTTGTGTTCTGCACCATATGCCTCCTTGTAAGCGAAGGATGGGCCAAAGGCGGCGGCGGCGGCGGCGGGAGAGGAGGCGGCGGGGGATTTAAGGGCGGTAGTAGTGGTGGGAGGAGAGGCGGAGGCGTAACTAATGGTGACGTTAGAGATGGTGGCGTTGGCGGCGGTAATGGCAGAACCGTCGGATCTGGAGTGCGTCCGTTACCGGTGGTTCCTCATGGAAATCATCAATCAAACAACAGCCAATCAACCATTGTTACGTGGCTCTGTATAGCTGCCTCTTTCTTAGCTCAAATTTTATTGATTGATTAAATTGTAGTATAAACCACACAATTTTTTTTAGGACTATTGACTTTATTTACCATTAAGATACAAGCCACTTTACACTACACATTCTTTTCATTGCTCAAATTTTTGTATTGGGTTTATTTACTTTTGTAAAGTCTGCAAAGAAATTTGTTAATGCATTATTATTATTATGTGGCTGAAACACCAATTCGATTCGTGTATTATTCTTGTCCTTTCAATTTTCTCCTATCTTTTACAATTGCTAAAATTACAATAATTTTGACCAATTTAAATCAAGGAAAAATCACACGTTTCATCCCTAAGTTATAAGTTAATTGTAGAATTTGTCTTTAAGTGTTAGTCGTACTCATTTTTCGTCTATAGCATTGCACTTATAAAAACGAAAAGTAAGCATGACAGATAATTATAAGGAGGAATTCTACCATGCATTATCGTATAACTTAGAAAGTGCAATTTTTCTTTCTCAACATACTAAAACACAAAGAGCCAATAACACATCCATTGAGGTTCGAACTCACAATCTCCCATATGGGAGTCTAACGTGCCTTTAGACCACAAGGTCTTGGGCCAATCATTTTTTCTTTACTTAATTTCGTTCGTATTTTAAAATTATGTTTTAAATTTAACTTTTTTTTTTTTGTATTTAATAGTACTTTTAATATAGTTTCTAAATATATAAATTTTATATACTAATACAAAACTTAATATTATTAAAAATTGAATTAAAAATAACTTGAGTCACGTCTCATTAAACAAACCAGACACATAAAATGAGACGAATGGAGTAACATTTTCATATATGAAGTACCATGAGCTGGTTTGATAAGTAACACTCTATAAAAGCTACCACTTTCATATAATGGAGTACCATGAACAGGTTTGATAAATAGCATTTTGACCAAAAATTAATAGATTTAACGAGTTTAATAATTTGTTTTGATCCAATAATTGAGCTAACATTTTTAATTCAAAATGTCAAATTTAGAAGGGGTGTTGCCCGAAGCATCATTTGACATTTTGTAGGATTGATCGATTAGCCTCAAGAAGTGGTGAAATGGTCAGGAAAAGTGCTATTGAAAATCATTTAGACAGTTATGTGCTTCCATTTATCTAAGAGTGGGCGAACGTTATTGAAGTTAAGAATGATAAAGAATTAAATAATATCGGATAGTTTTAATATTATATGTCTAAATATTTAACAAATGGGTTCGTATAAATAAAATAATACATGTTACGGGTTTATGTAGGATTCAAGTAGTTCTGAAAACTTTGTAACCAATAAATGATATACCTAATAAAGTGTGTGTATATATATACATATATCTTATCCATTCTCATTAGAGAAGCAATTATCCCAATTCCCACATACCCTACTATGTATTATTATTACTTTTTTCTTTTTAAAATTATAGGCAATTGGCGTTTGTACCTGGATCAGAGGTACATACACATATTGTATGTATTAAAAAGAAAATTTTAATTTTCACTTGTATTCCAGAATTGGATTTGAAACGTATGCTACTTGTTCAAATATAGATGGTGTCCTGTTAAGAAGTGAGGTATAGTGCCTGAAGGAAGTTTGCATCCACCCAGATAATGCCTTGTTAGCATCTTCATCTTTATTGAAGCAAAGGAGGGGTGGACCGTACTGGTAATTGTAAAGTTTTTATGAGGCAAATATGCTCTTTTGTATAAAGATCTGTGAAACGATCTTACACAACTACATATAATAGGTTGACCCTGTATAAAACCATCCCTATGAGAAAAATGTGTAATATAATTTAACAAAAATGTAATAATTTTTAATAAACTAATATAAAAAAATACGGAGTATTATTTTTTCATTAAAAATTATTTCAACTCTCACATACTCTGTATATTTTAATATAAAACTTTTACTTCCTCATGGTTTGTAATGTTTCTCTATATTTGTCTATCGATTAATAACAAAGTAAGGAAATTGCCCATAGTCTTTCCAATTTACACATAAAATCAATCATTTATTATCCAATTAAGTATTTAAACATCTATCTAATATATATAGACCAAATGAAAAATAAATAAATAAATAAATAAATAAAGGGTACATCGGGCCTGCTGCACAATATGAATCTCTTGACGATGTTGAGAAACTTTTTCATTAGCGATTGAGAAGGGGAAGCCTTCAAGTTTTCAAGGAAGAATAAAGTAAAAAAAAAAATCAATATAACTAAATTAAGGTATACTAGGTTATAAAATATACAAGGAATAAGGTTCAAATTGGTCACTGAACGTAACCTGAAAGTGCAATTAGGCCACTGAACAAAAAAAAAGTGCAATTAGGCCACTGAACAGTCTAAAAATGTGCAATTTCACCTGATAGCAGGTTACCCTCAATTTTAGCAGGTTATCTGCTTACGTGGCAGTTGAGTTGGCATTTTTAATAAATTTTAATTAATTTTTAATAAATTTTAATAATAATTTTTTATTAAAAAAAATTTAAAAAAATAAAAACGACTTTATTTTATTTTTTATTTAATTTTTTCCAATTTTTTTATAAAATTTATTATTAAAATTAATTATTAAAAATTATTTAAAAATTATTAAAAATGCCAACTAAGCTGCCACGTAAGCAGGTAACCTGCTAAAATTGATGGTAACTTGCTATCCGGTAAAATTGCATACGTTTGGAGAGTTCAGTGGCCTAATTGCACATTTTTTGAGTGTTTAATGGCCTAATTGCACTTTTTTTCGTTCAGTGGCCTAATTGCATTTTCAGGTTACGTTCAGTGGCCAATTTGAACCTTATTCCAATATACAAATATACAACATCACTTCTATTTGTATAATTATTGTTAGGAACATATGTCTCGGATAATGAATATGGGACTTAGGGTGTGTTTGGAAACCTGGAAAATGAGTTTTGGAAATCATTTTCCAAGTTTCCATTGTTTGGATGTGCCTAGAAAATCAAGTTAACGGAAATCATTTTCCGTTGACTTTGGAAAATAGGTTTGATTTGGAGGAAAATGACTTCCCTTTTTTTTGGGGGGAAGTCATTTTCCAACTTTTACACCAACATCACACCACCACCAACATCATCAACACCATACCACCACCACCTCACTACCACCACCACCACTGCCACCACCACCACCACCATACCACTGCCACCACACCACCACCATCACACCACCATCAATACCACCGTCGCCGCCGCCACCATCACAACCATCACACCACCACTACTACCACCACCGCCGTCGCCGCCACCACCACCATACCATCGCAACCATCGTCACCGCCACCACCACCACCACCATACCACCGCCGCCGCCACCACCACCATACCACTGCAACCGCCGCCGCCACCACCACCATACCACTGCAACCACCGCCACCACCACCACTACACCACCACCACCGCCGCCGCCACCACCACAACCATACCACCGCAACTACCGTTGCCGCCACCACCACCACCACACCATCACCACCACCACTGTCATACCACCCCCAGTTATTATTATTATTGTTATTATTATTATTATTATTATTATTATTATTATTATTATTATTATTATTATTATTATTATTATTATTATTATATAACAAATAACACCACTACCACCACCATAATATTTTTGATATATTATTAGTTATTTTTTGTAATTATATTTAAAATTATTATATATTATTATACATGTTATAATATTCTAAATAAAATAATTAAAATGTTTAATTATACAATTCTACTCATTTTCCAGAAAATGAACCAAACACACAAAAACAGTTTTCCAGAATGCAACCAAACATTAGAAAGGAAAATGTTTTCCGGCAAATGACTCATTTTCCAGAAGTCATTTTCCTGCTTTCCAAACGGACCCTTAATAAAAATAAGGAGTTACTTGACCACAATCTTCAGGTGTGTAAAACAAGGTATCACAAGTTTTTTATTTCATTTACTAAGCAATAAGGTTGATCAAATCAGAACTTATGAAGTACAAGAGATGTCAAATTTCTCAGATTGCTTTTTGATAAATTTACCAAAGGAATAAGGGTCAAATATGCCACTCAACTACACACCAAACTGTAATTAGACCATAAACTAAAAAAAAAATGCAATTAGACCATCAAACTAAAAAAAATACAATTGGATCCCTGAACAACACAAACTCATGCAATTTGACCCAAAATGACTTGTTTACCTGAACATATGCTGACATGTCGGCTACCAAATTTAAAAATACAATTAGGTCCCTTCATCGTCTCCGATGTTTTTTTTTTTAACATTTATTTTAATTAAAATTATTTTTAGATTTGGTGACCTCACACTGAGGTTCAGATTTAAGACCTCTCATTTAAGGGGCCACAACTACATCGTTCGACTACCAGGCCTATTTGATTCTTATTCCTATACTAAAGGAGTAACATGATATTTTTAATTTGTTAAAATTCTCTCATAAACTCTACAGTTGTTTTAATTTGTTAGTAATCTTCCAATTCCAAAATTTAAAATTTACCAGAATGATTAATCAACATTCTTGTTCAATAGATAATAAATTTTCAAATATAAAATAATAGATATTTTCAACTCAACAACACCAAAATATTATTTATACTTTTGGTAAATATGTTTATACTAATACATTCAAATATTTACTATATACATATCTAACAATTATTGCTTTGTTTGAAAAAAACAATTGTTGCTTTTTTTTTGTGTGTGTGTGTGTACAATTATTGCTTATTTAAAATTAAAAAATGTCATAATATTTTAAAATTAAACATTGTGGAAATTCACGTACACATAATATTTCTAATGATGTATTGATTAGATGGGTTCATTATTGATTAGTCTTGGTTAGGGTGACATTTTTACGACTTAGTTATCCATTACCATAAAAAAGTGAGTTTCTATGTTGTTAATCAAAAGCTAGTGAAGACATGCCCAAGCACGACATTCAACATCAAACTCTTCATTAAATTGTTAAATACGTTGAAAAGAGTTTTGAGAAAAAAACTGGTAATAATGGAAGAAATCTAACAATTCTAAGTGATAATAATTTAGTTTTTAGCCTAAAATTTCAAGGAGTTATTCTATTTTTGGTTCTAAATTTAGATGTGATAGTTTATTTTTAATTTTTTTTAATCAAAATATCCATATTTAGTTATAATATTATTGTGACATGATCATTTTTTTTTCTCCAGTCAGCAAAATCGTTAAAATGTGGTTAAATACAAATGCATTTGATTATTTTCATACAAAGTGAGTTAACCCTGTTATATTTTTATGTTTATTTTTTTCAAAAAATCTGTAATTAAAAACCAAAATGTCATTATATTTAACTGCGTTAAAATTGTTTTGTTGATAGAAGATTAAAATTGGCCATGTCACAATAATACTAGAACCAAATGTGGGCAAATTATGCTGTGGATCTGTATGCACCATGCATGGTGCATACAGATCCACACGACGTCGTTTTAGCCTAATGACGCGGGGTTTTATAAAAAAAAAAAAAAAATTCCGTTAACGGCGTTTACTTCCAAATTCCTTTTGAGTTTGTTTCCAAGTTTCAAACTCGATCGTTGGCAGTTGTTCGCTGTGGTATTGGCATTCGATATCACCGGAATCGCGATCGCAATCTCAATCGCATTCGCAAATCGCAATCGCAAATCGAAATCGGGAATTACAAAGTGATTGATAGATGGAGGATGGAACAGAGCAGACGAATTCCGCAGTTGATGATTGGCATTCGATTCAAGGTGATCTTGTTATTGTTTTTGCAATCGTTCCTTTTGGTTTTTTGTATGATTATGTGATTAGCAGTGATGTTTGTGTCTAGAATCTGCAAATAGTTGTGCAAAATCACGTAAGTAATTTCCATAATTGTGTAACAACAATTTCAGAATTTGAAAACAATAATTCCATAATTTTATAACTATATTTCCAGAATTGCATGTCTATATATTCAGAATTAGGGGTACTCTGTTTTGGCAGTTTGTTGCGACTGTGTATCCAGAATTGTATAACTATATTTCCATAATCATATAACTATATATACAGAATCTGTAGACACTCTGTTTTTTCTGTTTGATGAACTGTTTGAATTAATGTTCACCATGTCTATATAATGTAGTTAGTGAAGGCATTGTGGATGGTTCAGTGAGTTCAGATCAAGTAGATGTAGATGTTGATGGATCTTCATCAATTCCAGGTTTATTCATAGTGGTTTACCTTTTAATTAGCAAATTATGGTTAGGAATTATGTGTTAATGGAAATGGTTATTATTGTGTTATATTTGCAGTTGATCAAGATTTGGTTGGTTTGGTAGTAAGTAATGCTGATGAGGCTTTTGAGGTGTATAACAGTTATGCATATAGACTTGGTTTTAGTGTGAGGAAGGGTCATCAACGATACAAGGGATCTTCGAACACAATTCAAATGAAGAAATTTTGTTGTTCTAAGGCTGGTTACAAGGCTAACAGTGGGGTTAAGGCTTATTCCAAAATTGACACAAGGACAGGGTGTGGAGCGTTTGTTCAATTTGACGTGGGTGATGATGGGTTGTGGACAGTTACGAAACACGAGAAAGTGCACAATCACGAGTTATGTGTGTTCAACAAGAGTCATCTACTTCGTTCACATAGGAGTGTCGGAGATAATCAGCTCTTATATTTACAAGGTTTGAAGGACAGTGGTGTTGCATTGGCAGATGGTATTAGGTTCCTAAAACACCAATCGGGGGGGTCCCCTTTAGTTGGTTTCACCAGTAGAGATGCTTATAATTCAATGGCTGCGGATACTGTCAAGCGATTGGATGGAACGGATTCTAACTCTTTAATTGAAATTTTTAGGAGGAGGCAGTCTACCGAGACTGATTTTTTCTTTGATTTTGAACTTGACTTGGATGCAAGGTTGTGCATTTTTTTTTGGAGGGATGGTCAAATGAGACGAGATTACGAGGTGTTTGGGGACTTGTTAGTGCATGATACGACATATCGCACAAACAAATACGATATGATTTGTGCCCCTTTCGTAGGGATGAATCACCATTGCATGAATGTAATGTTTGGATGCGGGTTTTTGATGAACGAGAGGATAGAATCGTTTGTGTGGTTGTTTAAAGTGTTTTCAAGATCAATGGGTGGCAAGTCTCCACAGACTATTATGACAGATCAATGTGCAGCTATGGCTGCTGCTATATCTAAAGTGTTTCCAACATCACGTCATCGTCTTTGCATATGGCATATCGGTGAGAATTCAAAGAAGCATATCAAGACGTTAAGGAGCAATAAGGATTTCTTGGATATGTTTAACTACGTGTTGAAATACACAGAGACCGAAGCTGAATTTCAATTCTATTGGACAAGGTATGTTAGTAATTAATCGTTTTTATTGCATTACGTTTGTAATTATGGATGTATAGTGCATCAATTATGGATATATAGTATTTCGATTATGGATATATAGCAGTGGTGGTGTCTGGAAATGTAGTATATGGATTATGGATATATAGTATTCCGATTATGGATATATAGTATACCGATTATGGATATATAGCAGTTGAACTTACTGGTGGTGTCTAGAAATGTAGTAGTATGGATTATGGATATATAGTCTATCAATTATGGACATATAGTATTCCAATTATGTATATAGAGCAATAGAAATTCTGAGTATGTGTTAGATGTGGTGATGCTGCTTGTTAATATTCTGCTTCATAATCATTTGGGATTTTGTCTTACCATTTTCAGGTTGGTGACTGACTATAAATGTCACAAGAATACTTGGTTAGAAAAGCTATATGACTGTAGGGAGAAGTGGTGTCCAGCATTTAACAAGGACTATTTTTCTGGGGGCATTCTATCATCACAAAGGAGTGAAACTACAAATCATTCGATTTCTAGAAGGTTGTCCAAGACAGCGGGTCTTTGTGATTTCTATTCATCGTTTGTAAGCGTAATTTCTGAATGGAGAAGTAAAGAGAACGGTGAAGACTTTCGGTGTGCTCAAGGGGTACCCGCTATGATGATGGAGCATGTGAAACTTCTTTCACATGCTAGAGAGGTATACACGATTGAGATATATTTTCTGTTTGAGGAACAATTCATGAAAGGCAGTGCGTGTCATCAAGAGATGGTGTTGAATGATGGCCGTCAACAGAAGTATCACGTGTGGCGGCCAGATATAGATATTATAAGGCATGAGGTTAGTTTTAACGCAGCTAACTTGGACATTTCTTGTAGTTGCAAGTTGATGTCTGAGTTGGGAATTCTATGTTGTCATTGTATACGCATTCTTCACGTACATTGTGTTTCTAGTATTCCCGACAAATATATACTTAAAAGATGGACTAAAAAGGTTATTGATGGTAGGAATGTCAACATTGATTCTATGGTTTATAATGTTGGTGTTCCTCCATCAATTTGAGTGTTCGATATTAGTAGAAAATTTCAAAGATTAGTTGTGTCTAGTCAAGATAGCAGCGTAGCGAGGAAACTGTGTGACGAGGCTGTTGATGATGTAAAGAAAAGGTTGAAGCCGAGGTTGGGCATGTGCATATTGAAGAGTGTGGTGTTTCATCTTCAAGTGGTGGTGTTCAAAATCCTTCAAGTCGGAGATTGAAAGGTGAGCGTAACAAAAGGAGGAGTGGTGTTATTGAAAAGAAGTACAGTCTTGCAAGGGGGAGAAGGAGTGCTGCAAATAAAGCTGCATTGAGTACAAAGGGTGCTGTTCAGTCTTTGGTGTTGGAAAACATATCCAAGCTTGCTGGGGATGGATACCTTGTACATCCAAGTTCTTCAAGTTCAGATTTTGTTCAGTTTAGTAAGGGTTTAGATGACAATGTAGGTGTAGATTGAGAAATACAAGTTGTTATCATTGATTTTATGCAATTATACAGTTTTAGTTTTGTAATTCTGGATATGTAGTTTTGCAATTTTGGAACTGTAGTTATGAAATTATGGAATTATAGTTATACAATTATGGAATTGTAGTCATGCAATTATGAAAGGTATGCAATTATGAAATTATAGTCATTCAATTATGAAAATATAGTTATGCATTTATGCATGTGTAGTCCCCATTGTGATGGAATTTGTAGTTATGAAATTGTGGTGTATAGTTATGCAAGTATGGATGTATAGTTTTGCAATTATGGTATTATTGTTACGCAATTATGGAACTATAGTTATGCAATTGTGGAATTGTTTATATACAATTATGGAATTATAATTATGAAATTATGGAATTATAGTTATGCAATTATGGAACTATAGTTTTGCAATTCTGGATTTATAGTAGTCATGCAATTATAGATTTGATACATGAAAACAAAAACAAAAAAAAAAAAAAAGTAAAGAAAAGAAAAGAAGAGAAAAGAGAAAGAGGTGCATAGATCAGATGTAAATTGTTATTTAGCTATTAACATCATGCATCTACATTCACAAAATACAAGTCACATTGTCAATGTAGTTCACAAAAACTTTCTAATTGTTTAGAATTCAGTCAACATGTTGAAGAATATTCATTCAATTCTTCTTCGAAACTCTTTTGGCCGCTTGCAGAACCTCCCCCCTGACTTCATTCATTCTCCACTTTATGAGGTTCGCAGCATATTTCGCTCGCAATTCACACATGAAGCTTGCCTATAAACAAAGAACATTAAGTAATTAGTCATTCGCAGTTTTATTTATTTTTTAATGTATTTTGAAACTATAATATGTATGGTAGTCTTACATTCAAGCGCATATTTTTCTTGAATCCTGGCTGCCAGTCTTGTAGAGTCCCTCGGAATGTCTCCATATGACGGAGTACATAGATCCCGCAATCAGTGACGTTTTCAGTGTTTGCCCAGTCCAACTTAAGGTACTTTATATCAACTTTTTGCAATTTTCACATACAAGGAGTGGCACTCGGCCTTAAGGTAACCACTGAATGCTTCAATCTGGTCAGAAAAGTTAGTTTAGTGTTGATAATGCTTTTATGTCAATAGATAGGTAATGGTAAGAATGTCAAGTTTTTTTTTATCAAAATTACCAATAAGTGTGGGCAGTTGCCATATTTGTCCTTCTCCGAAACACCAGCTGGTAACTCCTTGTTGTCAATGACCTGTACTTTATGTTCTTTCACATTGAAGCAGACCAAGAAGTAGTGACCATGGCGATGAACTGCGAAAAATATCTAATTCCAATTCAAAGTTAAAGCAATGTTAGTATTTTTTTGGACATGATAAAGTCAAATTGGACATGGGTAATAGAACTTACCAGATCTGCATCACTGATGTCTAGGTTCACGAAGCTGGTTATTTCATAGCTCAATCTCTCATTGAAATTCTTCATTTTTATGTGAGTTGGGAGATCCTTCATCCACTGATCATTGGGATCAATTTGAAGCTGCACATACAAATGCAGGAATGAGTAGTCATAATCCAAATAATATTTGTTGAAAATGTTAAAGTTATACATACAGAGTTATATATATATACATTTCCAGAATTGTACAACTATAGTTCCATAATTGGATAACTATAATTCCATAATTTCATATCAATAATTCCATAATTGCATATAACCAATTCCATAATTGCATAAGTATAGTTCTATAATTGCATAACTATAATTCCAAATTACAAAATTATAAAACCAGGGGTTCACAGGTACACATCCAGAACTGAATAACTACATATCCATAATCTAAAAACTATATATTCATAATTTGTGAACACTTACATGTACTAGGGTGGAGAAGTAGACCCGCTTTGTCTCCCCAACCGCACGGGGCATGTTCAGCAATGTAAAACGTAGGGACCAGACATCTAGGAAGCTGCTCAGTAGCTCACCGTTGCACATAGTTGCAAAATCATCCCTTGTGAAGTAGTAATCACCATATTTGAACAATGTCTCTCTACAATACAGTAAATAAATAAATATAAGAACATAAATTAATGAATAAAATTTAAGTAAAATTGGTGGATGGAAACATACCCTCCCGGGTGCTCACTTGAGGCTTCCAAAAATGCGTAGTTTGAAAAAACCTTTTCTTTGGGAGTTGCATTATTGATGGAGCCTTTGTTCTTATTCCAATATGGTGACCTCAAATGAAGCGGGATGTTCCTGAATTTGCGCACAGGTCTCTTTCTCACAGTAACATCCTCAACATCATATTCACTTTCATCCATAGCCCTGTTGTCCAGAAAAAAACAGAGGCAGTTCATAACCCACAAGTATAATTCCAGAATTGTATAACTACATTTCTATAATCTATAAACTATATGTCCATAATTTGAGAAATACATATCCATAATTGTAAAAGAAATCAACGTCACTAGTTGAATAAGAATATATTCATATTAATCAAACTTAATATTCATAATTATTGATGAATTGAAAACCATATTATAGTCTAAATCTGCATAAGAAAGCAGTAACCTACTTATCAAATTCATCAATCTCAGCAGCAGTTTGGGCAGCAGGGGTAGTAGGAGTGGTGGACTTTTCGAATGGCACTCTGATTAGTAATGGAGTTGCTTCCTTCTCTGTTGAGGTTTGATACTCCTGCACTCCTCACAATGTTATCACCAAGGTGTCCAAAGGCTGCTGTTGAGAATGGTGGTGGGGGTTGGTGTAGAGCGTCCAAGTAGCTCAAATGATGGGACTTCTATTTCCATTTCCTTTCTTGTTTTTTTCAAAAGCTGCTACAGAGAATCAACTGCTGATGTGAAGCTCTCACTTCCGAAGAAGATGTCATCCAATTGCGAGGCAGTTGGGCTAGGAGTCGGTTGAATTGTGCTTGCAGCACTCAGCATTGTTGATATTCCTGAAAAAGCCCTCTTCATGATTTTCAACCGGGGCCCTTGCTTGCCAATGTCAGACATGACCTGACCGAACTCAAGGACATCTGCTGTAAGCCGTTGAAGCACATTTGTTACTCGGTCAACATTTGTCAGAGGCACAGATGGAGCTGGAATAGTTGGTGTAGCAGCAGGGCTGGACACTGGTCTTGGTATTGCAGCAGGAGGAGGTGCAGGTCGGGGTGATGATGTAGATGCAATGGCAGTAGGTTTCTGAAATCGAGGGATAACTTTGCCCTTACCAAAACCCCCTGATTTTTATCTCAGCCGATACTCGCTTGCGTACAAGGCTTTTTGTCCAAGCTTTTATTGCTGGGAATGTGCGGTTGACGGTCATGCCTCTGAACTGTACTCGGTCAAAGTAGAAGAGCTTCAAGAAGTACAGAAGAGTATGTTATGGAATTGAATAACTACATATTCAGAATTGCATATCTATAATTCCATAATTGCATAACTATAATTCCATAATTATAAAACTAGATATCCAGAATTGCATATCTATAATTCCATAATTGCATAACTATAATTCCATAATTGGATTACTATAATTCCATAATCCATAAACTACACATCTATAATTGATTAACTATAATTCCATAATTGTAAAACTATTATTCCATAATTGGAAAACCACAATTCCACAATTACAAAACTACACATCCATAAGGGCATAACCACACATACAGAATTGCATATCTATGATTCCATAATTACATGAATATAATTAATAATTAGAACATTTTATGTATAATGGGATATTACCAGGATGAATACCATTGGACCTCCAAAGGATCTGGTAGGAGAGTCTTTGTAAATGTCATACGAATCAATTAAAGAATTGTACGTGTACTTGCACCAATTAAGTCTTGAGATGACCGGATGTTGAGCAATGACTTGATAACTCGATAGTTGGCATATCTTCCAGTATTTCCCCGGAGCAGAGATGAGACAGCAAACACCACAAAGTCTCTCTTGAAGGCATCTCCATGGTCACCTCTCCTGATTATTTCATCAGGCATCTTTGTTGTTATGGGTGACCCTGACCTGACATTCCATCTTTTCCTCCACTCAGTCAGGACCTTATTATATGCAGCTGTAGAATTTTCCTCACTCTTTGTACCTTCCTCACATCTCTCTTCCCCCGGGGGAGTCCCAAGATGTATTCAACATCCTCTTCACCGACATGTAGATGGTCACCATCCAATATGAAGTCTGATTTGAAAACATCAAACCTTTGCAGGAGATACTCAACAAGTTGTGAGTAATGCTTGAAAATTGTAGGTGCAGCAGCCCTCCAAAACCCATATCAATCACAGCATCCTTTTGGTCATGTGTTAGACGCTGGACAAGGTCATACATTTGCTTGGGACCATTCGTGTACTGAAGTAGTTCACATCAGGGTCCCGTACTCTCTCTCGCTTTTGTGGTGGTGCCCTCTTTCTTTTTACAGCTGCTGGTTGTTGCCTTGTCGAAGGCTCTGCTTGATCTTCCTGGCAGGGGTGAGTTCAGCAGCTTGTGATTGTGAGCTCAATACTGCTCTGGTTGTTTCTTCTTTTTTACAGACTTCACAAATT